ACAGGGGCTTACGTAACTCGAGTAAGTTTATGCGATATGGACAGGTCGGAAAATCGTGGAGACGATTCCATGTTGCAGTGAAATTAGCGCTCTAGATAGACTGTTGCTAAGGGATAACTAACAATGCTAGCAGAGCTGCGCTCTATCCCTCGATGTTGCTTTATAAAAGCATTATGTCTTGCATATGTTTGCTTATACATAAATAATATAAGTCCTATTTTATGACATTCATTGTTGAATATTTAAATCATTGACAAGACTTTAAAAGCCAATTTGACATTTTGTATATGCAGTATCACATTCAATAGATGATCTTCGACAATTATGTCTTAGTGAGAATATCCTAACATTTTTTTTTTTTTTTTTTTTGAAGATTTCCCATGATCTCAAGTTCGGTAATACCGGTAAAATTGTGTGTAAATCTGATGGTTGATTATAATTGTAATCACGTTTTATTCTATTTTTGTACAGGCTATACAGTCTTCATTTGTGGCGTCTATATTAAGTTACATAGTGCTAAGCATTGTCTCTAATAAAGGTATATGTTTCCATGTAAAATATTTGTACTTTCTCAATGGCCATTTTGAAGAGGAGTTTAATGTTTTGTGTCGTGAATTTTTTGCAAAAATTGCCCATGCCTAAATGTTTTCTATTCCAATTTTTTTTTTGGTGTGGTTATTGAATTCTTTTTATAAATTCTTTATGAGGCTTGATGCTATTATCAGTATAGTGAAATGGAATGACGCAAGTCATATTGTCATGACTTTACAATCAGTGATAGGTATAGCATATTGAAGATGAAACGAGCACCTATCATGAAAAAAAAAATTAAAGAAACATCTCTAACTGATACACCCTTCCATTGTTTCGTCTAATTTTGAATAAGAAGTTTTGTTAAGAAGGCATGAAAAAATAATACAGAAGCAATAAAATTTTTATGTAATTAAGTCTATATATACGCACAATTCATTCCAAGTATTACAGCTCTGATCTCATACCCCCCACCCCACCCCACCCACCCATTTACCGTCATGACAAAGTTTGGTGCAGGATACTTGTAGACAGGGTCAAAGACAGTATTTATATCGAAAGACTTATTTTGTTGATTTATCTTTTATTTTGTACAATTTTGTACTTCTATATATATATATTGATTAAATGATCAATAAAATAACGTGTTTATTTTATATGCTTGAATTGACTGCACTTTTACAATTAACAGCTGCTTAGTCAAGTTCAACAAGTGCAAAACGTACAATCTATATTGAATCAGTTGTCAAAAATACTATTAAAGTTCTTGTTTATTTTGGTTTTATTTTGCAACAGTGCCAAAAAAAATCATTTGAGAACAAAGACCCGATGATACAACCTGTACTGTGACACATTCGAGTTAAATCAGATAATTCCAGTATTCTTATACATTAATCATTATATGTTGTGCGATTGTTCAATAGCGAAAATGAATTAAAGCTCTCTAAATAGAGAAGAAAATAAATCAATATTTAAATTTTCTTGTATTTCAGCGACTAAATATATCAAGAAATTGTATTTTGGAGTATCATTTTACATGTAATACAATCTATGATTAATATTAGATCCTTTGATTCGCTCACATACGATCGCTACACAAAGTGAGCGGATCAAAGAATCTAATTTCAGTTGGATTACATTATGATGATATCATTTTACATTATCACTGCCCTATTGTCTGTTGTACATATGTCTAGAGAATCTTTATATTATTAATTCTGAACATTAAAGATCTTGTCTTTTACGGAGATAGAAACTTAACATTGTAGCATTGAATCTCTAGAAAAAAAATACCACCTCAAACACGCAGTATATGTATGTACTTTTCATTCAGAAAATTAGAAAAATTAACCAAAAAAAAAGAGAGAGAGAAAGAAAAAGTGCAAAAAAGATCTATTTATTTGTGTTTATAAATCCTCGACCAAGCGTGAGAAAATATTGTTGTGAGCGACACACGTCATTTATGTATGAATAAACATCTCCTTAATTAATAAAAGCCGACATCCCAGATGTGGTTCTACCCATCACTCGCATGTTATTCCAGATGCCATTGTCATGCAGCGTAAGATCGTAATGGAGATAGATGATCACAATAAGATCGCGCATCTCTATCTAAAGGAGGAGAACATCTTCTCAACTGCTGAAATTTATATACATGTATGTATATACATGTACATACATACTCACATTTTACACCTTTATTCAGTGAATATCAATCGTTGGATAAATCACAGTATTGTAATAAATTGTTTAATCTTATACAATTTGTATTCCAACGCCTCCTGATGGGCGTATTGTAATTGGTTTTCGCAAATATTGAACTTTCCCGCAAAAAGGTTTTATTTCATTTCGGCAAATGAACTTATTACTTTTATCATAGTTGAGCTTTAGTACTATTGTTATAGTTCATGTAGTATAGTAAGAAAGAGTGCAAACTTGACTTTCTTATGAATGAAATATATGGAGATAACGAACAGTATATAAGCTCAGAAGTCCATTCAACAATACAAAATAGGAGCAGAGCAAACACGGACCTCCAAAACATCAAAGGTGGGATCAGGTGCCATGGAGGAGTGAGCATCCCCTGCCGACCGGTACACCCGCCGTGTATGAAAAGTTCATGAGAAATGTGGCCAAGCAGAATTCTTAAGAAATTTGGTGCCAGAACAGACATGTAAAAAATATCTAAGGATGCGCGGTGTCAGTAACATTGTTTCTGTTAGTATTTTATGACATATCAAAATATGTGGAATAGTAACACTTTTTTGCGGAAATTGATGCCTACTTTCGGGGAAACATGATGCAATTGTAAAACACAGACGATAGACAGAGAATTTATAATGACTTCATTGAAAAAAAAATCGATGGAATAAATAAAATAAAGCTCTGCTTTGAAAAAAAAGTGTGTATATGGGGAGGGGGGTAGGCATATATTTAAACATCATTATTTTTCTTTAGCATTTTTAATATTCTTTAAAGAAACTGTCCAATCAAAAACAATTATGTTTTATATCGGAAAATCGTGGGAAATGCCATTTCGTTATATATGTAATTTGCATTATTATTTCATTTTCTATTTAGTATAATTAATTGATAATAATAATAATTAAGAATAGGGGTATTGTATTGAACTCAGAATTTTTTATATCTGACACAGGAAAAAAACCCCTGTAGCACTGCATTTTTTCCATTACTAACAGTCGTAACTATACATTGTAGGAAAAACACGACCCTTGCAAAATACCTGAATTTGACAATCAGTCAAATTTGATCTGTGTTTACAATGCATAGGTGATTTTTATGGTTAAATAAGTATTATAATATAATTTTTTACGTACAAAATAAAATAAAAAACAAACATACAAACAAACAAAAAAAAACAAATCGATAAATTACAGAAAATGAATAGATACATAAAACTTTAATAATTAAATTCATGCTTTTCTGTGTGTGTGTGTGGGTGGGGGGGGGGGGGGGGGGATGGGGGTGGTATAGAGACAAACTAATCAAGGAAGTTCATAATAATCTCTATGAAGAGATTATTTGAAATTTTTCCTACTTTAGTGATGTCATCAAACCAACGAGCCACCATGCAATCAGAATTATGGAGTCGATAAGAGGAGCTGTCAATCAAATGATCAATATATTAAAGTGAATCAAAGGTCATGGAAAGTTCACCACTGCTGATTTTTCCTCGTTTCGGTTATCTATGTGGTTAAATGCATAACTTGCCAATGAAAACAAATACTTATGTAAGTGAATTAGAACATCGACCTCACAAATTTAGATTTTTTTTTTGGAAGTATTGGAGAAGGTTCATTTTGTGTGTCCTCGTGTGGTTGTACTTGGTCTATTGTGTATCGTTTATTTGACCCTAACAGTAAAAATCTTTTAAATAAATATATCCGTTAGAGTGTACATGTATAATCGAACATTGCTCGTGTTTACATACTGCATTGGGGTCTTTTTCGGAATCTTTGCCAAATTGAATGATTAGAAGTTCATTTATTCAGTCTTCATCACGGATACATCGTATTTTGCTTATTTCCAAGAACGAAGTACTGAAATAAACACACACTTTCACAGAGAGAGAGAGAGAGAGAGAGAGAGAGAGAGAGAGAATATAATAATTTTTTTTTAATTGTACTTGCATTATATGGAGTTCGAGGCTAATAAAGACTCCGGCAAAGAGATGAAAATTAGGCAAATTCTAAAAGCCCAATCTGCTTCTATTTCAATACAATATGAGTGGCAATTTTCGTACCGAAAATATCTGTAAAATTGTAATTTACTACATTGTATTTCAATCACAGAAAAGACTTCTGTTCTTTTTATTAGGTTGGAAAATCTATTAAAAAACTTCTTATTGAAGCAAAATTACATTATTGTCTACCTTTACAAAAATTTTTTTCTTATATAATACTATAAATTCTATAGTACATCTATCTTTCTTTTGCTAAAATATAACGTAACATTCAGAATTATCATAATAGCACATTTTTAAGCAAAATGTCTTAACTCTCAAAAATATAGTAACAAATGACCTCAGTTGTGCAAATTACTTAGTACTTCGTGAGACTGTTTTCTGATGAATAACATTTACACTTACACTCAAGACAGTGACGCATGTAAACCCTTTCGACCTGATTCACCCCCCCCCCCCTCCTTTCCCCACTAAATTATTTCATAAATGACGCCAAAAGTTTGGTATCTCTGTGTACGAGGATTCGGAAAGTTTGCGGACTTCTGTCTTGTAACTTTGATATAGTTTACCTGTTACCAGGGATATTTAAAAAAGTTTCAATCAAATCTCCGGTGATATTAAATCAAGTTATCTCTTATTGTTAAAATTGTAAATATCATTAGATAAAAGTTCACTGCTTGTTGCGTTTCTTGTTCTATTTTTTTTTAATCGAGTTCGAGATTCAAACAAATACGAATTAATGTACACGAGCTTCCGGTGTAAACAGAAAGACATAAAAATATACTTGGAAAATGCATTATTAGACATTACTGGTTGAAAAATGGAAGTGTGCAGTACAAAATATGAATACTCTATCGTTACTTCTTTTCCTGTGGTTGCTCAACTGGACTGTAAGTGATTAAGATAAAATAAACTAAAGCTATGCATGCATGAATGTTGCAGCAGGGAATGCAAATTCATCAGTGTTCATGTTGCCAATCGTTTCTCTGCTGCTGCATCAGCATATGACTTGATAAATGGCCAAGGGTAGAATAATAAAGTTTATTGGATATAACACTTAAATGGTCTAACCTACCTACATGTACACCTTCATAATGTCAAGACCGTTAAGTCTTAGTTGATGTGTTGTTTCATCACTTAGAGGATGTCAATTCATGAGTATTAACTATTCTCTTTAGAGAAGTGGACAGGCTTTCGCCTACATGGATGTAGGCGAAAGCCTGTCCACTTCTCTAAAGAGAATAAAGTATTAACTTCTACATATATGAAATCTGAGTGCTTTGCATTTTGGGATATCTGTCACGGCTGAGATTTGGCTGAAGGGGTCAGCCCAAATGTCCAGCATAGCCGAATCCAAGCCAAAATTACTTGGGATACATAAAATCAAACGTTTTTGATGCAGCTTATCATATTAATGTTGATTCATCAGGTGAACCGTTTTTCACCAGTTTTGTTCTTACAGACATGCATAAGTCAAGTAGAGACAAGTCTTACATTATTTGGCTGTGCACTAGGCCATCTTTGTTTATGAGAAAAATGTTTGCTTGCCCTCTACTGACACACTCACACAGAATTTAAAAAAAATGAGTGAGTAGGTATGGGAAAAAAAAATTCCAAAAAAACAAACAACAAAACACAACTTGCAAATGTAAAATTAAATTGATGAGATGAGAAAATTTCAGAACGATTAAAAAATAATCATTTCCTGGAGATTTAAAAGTTTTGAGTCAGGCCATTTTTAGTCAGTTGGTCAGGAGAGGGCAAACAGATAATTTTTAAAGATAGTATTTAGGCTTACATAAGGAATTTTCCTTTGCCGTAGTGGAGATAGTACAGATGATTTGTTAAAATGACTGTAGTCTTAATTAATTGTGCATTAATTGCTGTATCAGACCTATATTCATGTATAATTAATTTGTTATTTTAGGTTCTATATGAAATAAAGGAGGAACCTTTCCCAGTTCAGCTACTTATAGATACTCCACACTGCAATATTTCACCTGGTGTGTTCAAGGATATTTTCACAGTATGGAACTGTTCAGAACTTGGATATCAAGAAATTATAGGACATTGTGGAAGCTTTCTTACAATGCCAATACCCATAAAGCCATATCAGATTCCCACCTTATCAAAGAATACTGGAATTTCCAAAATAATGTTACATAACAAAGATATATATTTAGCAAATGCAGAATGTTGCATCATGGATTTTTATTCATTTAACCTATTGTCAAAAAGTGAACTTACAGTTTGTGATATTGTTATTGTTATGGGCAAGAGTAAAGTTTTGCATTATTCAAGGAGAGGCAAACTTTTTAAAAGATCAGCAAAACAAAATTACAAATCTTTGAGATTGTCAAAGAAGAGAGGAAGTGATGGAGAGAGTTCAAATTTCACTGGTGCTATGATTTATAACTCCACTGTGAGGATTTCCAGAGAAGCCAATGCAACTTCTATGAATAGGTCCAAATTTAATGAAACTGAATTGGAAATCATAGAGGAAAAACTAGCCTTAAAGTTGTAAGTGACCATAGATGCTAGAGAGCAGGAACCCCCACCCCCGTCTTTGGTTGTTTGCTGTATTAATATGAAGAGTGGGATACAAATTTTTATAAAGTACGAGGGGTGATCAAAAAGTTCGCGAACTATCTCAATATTTACAAAACCACAATTCAGATCAGAATGAAATTTGACAAACATATAGTCATACACTTGTTCTATAAATAACAAATGTTAAATAATATTTTGCTAGCTGTTTGTGACGTCACAAAGTGAAAATGACGTCAATATTTAGGTGACTTGTGACAAAAAATGGTTGACTCAGTTGTACTTGAGAAACGAAGGGCTGTGAAGTTTAATGTTATATCTTGGAAATTCCTTTGCGGTAGAATATGATAATTTGTACAAGGTTTATGAAGACAATAGACTTACCAGAAGTCCAATCATTAATTAGATTGATTATTTTAGTGAAGGCAGGGAGATGGTTAAAAATAATGTTTGTTCTGTTGCCCAGCGAAAGCAAGCCAGGGAAAAGATGTGTCCGTAGTTGAGCAATTCATTATGAAACATCGTCAAGTTAAGATAAGAAAAATAGTTGAATATCTTAACAATAATATGATTATTAAATCCCTAAAATATCGTTTACTTTAGACTTTAAACATATGAGATATGATAAAGAGAAGGCGTCCATACTTTATCCACATAGGATAAACGACGCTCCCAAGACAGAGGACTCGGGATGTGATGGTCACCATGTTAATTCTGGGAAGGGATATCCTTATCCACCTATCCTATTGCCGAGATTTGTCAATTTCTGACAGATGGGCTGTTCTTGTTATAAAAAATAACTTACATGGTAAGAACAGACCGCTACGGGGCATGTCACGTGACCGCCTTGATCACGTGATTCGCGCATGGGCAGAACAATGGCAGATGTGCATTTAAATCGGAGAGGACCACTTTAAAAAATAATAAACACTGAAACCTCATTTCATTTCTTTTAAGGAAGTTATTAAATTAGTTAGCGAACTTTTCGATCACCCCTCGTAAATGTTGTATTTGTAGTAAGTAATTTTTCAGATTGATAGTAAACTGTGTATTGGATCACAAATATGTCAGAAAAAAGATGAATTATGAAAAAAAAAAGTTAAAAGGCCTGGTAGTCTTTATCAAAGGGAAGGGGATTCCTGTTCTCAAGTACCTGTTTAAAAAAAGTGATGGCTTATGAATAATCTGTCTGGATTGAAAATTGAGTATGCAGAGATACAAAAAAAAAAAAAAAAAACTTTGATAGTTAATATTCTTTAGTAAATCTCTACTCATCAAAAACCTAGGTCTAAGTTTTGCTTTCCATTTTTCCAGTACATGTACATGTATTTCATAGAATACTTAGTATTCTTTTTCTGTATTTTCTTTTAATTTCCAACATTTTTATTAATCTTTTCTTTAGCTCACATGATCCAGAGTGGGCCATGATTAGTATGACCTCCATCATTTTGCTTCTCCTGTGTGCTGTAAAATGCTGTAAACTGACACAGTACAACCAATCAAAATTACAGTATGTGGATTATATTGATGATTGGCATACTTCAACCGTTTATGGTAAGACACTTGAATTTTATATAGTACATTCACTGTAGGGGTTATCTCACTTTGAACATACATGTATATTTCCTTACGTCCAAATTCCAAAACTTGCTCTGTTATTTATTTTGATGATTCAGAGATAAACTGAAAACATATAGCTGTTTGACACATTAGAAAAAAATTTTCAGGGCACCTTTCAGTTTTCGTATCATATATCCCCTTAGTATTGGTATCAGAGTTCAAGTTTAAATTGAATAGCATTATTTCCAAAGTAAATATGAACCCTTCCTAGACCAAACTTACTTGGATGATGCATCTAGAAATCCTTACTACCAATCATGCTTCATTTGCTATATATGACTTATATTTTCTGGAGGAGAGGACAGATATGTTACTGCTTATTGAAGTTGCGTGGACTTACGTTGATGAGATATTTAAAAACTGGTTATAACCAATATGCTTTGGATGCTGCATCTTGCTTACACTTTCGGGATGAATGGCCAGAATAATTATTTTGCTGTCAGAGGATGATGTCCAGAGGTCCAAAGCCCAACGTTGACCAAATTTGTTTGAATGGTGCATCTAAGGATGCTTACTATCAACCATGCTTCCATTGCTGTATCTGACCTATAATATTTTGATGAAAGGACAGGTTATGTATTTTGTAAGTGTAAATCTTTACCTGGACTAAATTGATGATGTTTGCTTACAATGAATCATGCTTCAGATGCTGCATCTGTTTTAAACTTTGTTAATAAGTGGTCAGGATAGCAATGCCATTTCCTAAAGCCTGGATTTATCTTGCACGGCTGCAGCATCTTGGTATTCTTACTGTCAATCATGCTTCAGATGCTGCATTCAACATATTTTCTGGATGAATGGCCATGTTAAATTTTTGGAGCAGGTCCATAACAAATTATTTATATACCAACCTGGATCAACTTGCATAGATGATCTAAGGATCCACACCCATGCAGTCTTGCTCGAGATGTGAAATATTTTCTGGTTGTGTAATTAGAACCCAATAGTGATGAAAATAATAACGAAATGTGGAAAAATCATTGAATACTATAGTATTTGACTCAGCCCCCACTTACAAGTAACATTTGTTTGAAGTGAAGTTTGTAATGTTTACTACCTTTTTTTCGCTTACATTTAGAGACAGCAGGGAGAAAATTCACTTTCTTGGATATATTGAAAAGATTCAAGAAAAGAAAAAAGAAAAGGCAGAAGAAAAGTGATGAGAAAGAGAGATTAATATACAACAAAAGAAGCCACAGTGATGGGGAAGACAATATTTTAGATGAAAGTGAAAATTTTATCAACCTATGACCAGAAGTCTCAATAGTTCTGTCAGTGATCAGTCTTATTTATATACAGTCAAACCTGTATTTTCAAGGGAAATGATTAAAAGATCTAGTATTTTTCTAAGTACATTTACATGCACAATAGTTCTGAATCATTTTCAAGCTTCCTAATCAGAATATGTTCAGTAACACCATCTTTGTTCATACAAATATTCAGTTAATAATTACATATCTATACAAACATCTTTTGGTAATTTTTTTTATTATGTATGGGGTTGTTAAATACTGTGCATTTGATTAGATTAGCTTGTGAAAAGTAGGGCTAAAAGTTACTGAATTCAGAGGCTCAAACTGCTTCAGGATTGAAAGTGACTGTGGCATTACACGGGATGTTGCTGAATGCAGATAAAATATAATGTCAATTTCTCAGGAGGAAATTAAACTGTATAGTTGCATATGAAACAAAGTCCCTGAATACAGAGGGCTGCTATTGCAGGTTTGACTGTATATAAGATAAATAGTTTTTGGGTTTCAAAGAGGGAGATTTTGCTTTGCTTCAACAGGATGAAGGATAGAAGGTCATATGTATGCTACATGTCTACCGATTAAGAATGTCTTGAACACCAATCACCGAATTAAATGAAATTATAACAATAAATGTGTGTAATAAAATTATTTTTATATCAAAGGACTATGTTGGGTAATAACCAATATCTGCCCTCAAAATCAAACTTTGATGGAGAAATCAATAATAATATATGTTCTAAACCAGAAGGGGTATCTGCAGACTTGAGAGTATTACTTATTTTCATCAGCCATGATGTCATATGTTAGATATGACGACAAGAAAATGACGTAAATTCAAATTTTCAATGATTTTTAGAGAATAATTTATGTAGATATTTTGGTTAAAAGTTATTGAGCGTAGGTCTTTCCAAGCTCTTTCTTTTGATATATTGTGTAGAATTATAATATCCATCAATATGTGAATATTGTTCTTGATCAATGGATCAAGCTTGCACTCAGTAAATTCTATACTCAACATTGAACAAATTGTGTCCATTTTGTCCTTTATCTTGAAAATAACAGAATATTCAAATAGTTTGTGACATCACAGAAACAAGCATTGACAATAGCATACTTCAAAATTATAATAGTTTTTGTCAATTAAGAATTTTTTTACAATATATACAATTGTGTACATTTCTAAAGACTTTCAAAATTTGGGGGGAAAATATGCTTTTACCAAACATAGTTCTTTGTACCACTCCCTCACTGTAAACATTATTTACACTGAGCTACAACTGTTTCTACAGTTTAGTTATTGAGGATTAGAAGGGGTGGGAGAGGGATTTCTGGGAAGAAACAGCTAAGCAAAAGAAATCGGGCCAAAATTTATGTGTATGTACAGAGTAGCCATGTATTTATATATTTTTGTCAACTATTGAGATATTTTACAAAATATTTGTTATTGTTTTTTAATGCATATTTCATTAGATAAAATACATGTTTATAATGATATCATGTTAAAACAAACAACAGATGTGTGGATGTATGTTTCTTTGGCAAATAAATTTGTTGCTATGTGCCAAACATAAAATAAAAGCATTACATGTAGTGGTATATGAGAAGTAGTTGTTAATAGATGTATCATATATTTGATAAATTTTTTTTTTTCTTTTTATACATCAGATTTAAAGTTGGCATACTTTTTTATTTAATGTACGAGGTATATGTGTGGAAAAATAATGACTGCCATTCATCATTATTAAATTTTTTTGTATGTTCGGTCTTTATCATCTAAGTAATCTCTCAGTTCTTGTAACAAACATTGTTTCTGTACTTGTATCAATCTAATATTGGTGCTTTTGACAAGTGTGTGAGTTCATAATAATCTATGTCAGAATATAAACATATAGAATATTATGCATTGGAATGGATAGACCAATTATTGGAAAGAATCATTATTTTGCAATAATGACAATGTGGTTATTTTGGTACCTGTAGTGAAATAATCACAATTTTTGCAGGCCAAATCAAAGACATAGCTTGGTATCTTGAAATCAGTGGAAAAAAAAGACAATAAAATGTTACAGGATTCAAGATATCAGAATGGAGACTTTTATTATTCATTATATAGTTGGGACCACAGACTCACTTTGGCATATCCTGACATTGGGCACAATCAAGATACCATAGTTCAGCTGTATATTGTATCATTGATTTATCTGATTAAGTTGCAATATTGTTGTTATTATGTATAAGTTAGATATGAACCTTCAACAACTGTTAGAATAAATTATCACAATGAGAAATTGAGTCATCATTGGTTACATAAATATTGTAGATTGATATATAGACAACTATATTCATGTGGAAAATGGGGCACTGGGGTGAAAGGAATTTGTGGACAGCCCCCCCCCCCCCCCCCCCTTCTCTAAGGACTGTTGAAATTACTTCTAAATCAAATTTAAAATTTTAAAATTTTTGTATTGTATAATTTTTTATTTGTATTGTATAATTTTTCATTTGTATTGTATAATTTTCCATTTGTATTATATAATTTTCCTTTTGTATTGTAAAATTATAGAATACAAATGGAAATTTATAGAATACAAATGGAAAATTATACAATACAAATGGAAAATTATACAATACAAATGGAAAATTACACAATACAAATGGAAAATTATAGAATACAAATAAAAATTATACAATACAAATGAAAAATTATACAATACAAATGCAAAATTATATAATACAAATAAAAATTTTACAATACAAATGAAAAATAATACAATACAAATTGAAAAATGTACAATACAAATGCAAAATTATAGAATATAAATTAAAATTATACAATATGAATGAAAAATTGTACAATACAAATGAACAATTATACAATACAAATTGAAAATTACACAATACAAATGGTAAATTATAGAATACAAATAAAAATTATACAATACAAATGAAAAATAATACAATACAAATTGAAAAATATACAATACAAATGCAAAATAATAGAATATAAATAAAAATTTTACATGACAAATGAAAAATTGTACAATACAAGTGAAAAATTATAGAAAACAAATGGAAAATTATACAATACAAATAAAAAAATTATACATTATAAATGAAAAATTATACAATTAAAATTGAAAATTATACAATACAAAAAATTATAGAACACAAAATTATACAATACAAATGAAAAATTATAGAATACAAATGGAAAAGTATAGAATACAAATTAACATTTTACATACAAATAGAAAATTATACATGCAAATGGAAAACTATAGAATATTATAAATGGAAAAATTATATAATTCAAATGGATAAGATCGAATATTGCAACGTTAGACATGCCATAAGAACTAAGGTGGGGCCACAACAGAGGGTCAAATTTAGGTATTTTTATGTGTAGAACATTTTCATCATCAAGAACAGCAGGACTAATTTCTTCTCAGGAATAGCAGGTCCATAAAAGTCAAATAGATCAAGTCCATCTTTATCTTGAGTGTCTTAGGGTTAAACTAGAGTGTAGTTGCATATACATTATATGGTACAATTTTTAGCTTACCTCGACAAGTCCACAGGTGCTTGGGGACGGGAACACACACTAGAGAGTGTGAATACTTTCTGAATATGTCATAGAAAAATATTTTATTTTAAAAAAGTCAAAGAACCCTTGGGGTATGGAACACGGGGGAGTGGGGTGGGGTGGGGGGTGTCCCGTCTCCAAGCACCTGTGGACATCGACAAGTCGAGATGTACGGAAGCGTATTAGTGCCACGTAATATTTTTTTAAGTTGGAAATTCCAACTTTAAAGTTGGCTTTTCCAACTTTAATCTTGGCTTTTCCAACTTTAAAAATGGTAATTCCAACTTCAAAGTTGGCCTTTCAAGCTTCAATCTTGGCTTTTCCAACTTTTAAGTTAGTAATTCCAACTTTAAAAAAAGGTTACTATATCCTCTATATTGTTAAATAAGATGGACGAAGAGAAATATAAGGGTTTTTGAAGTTGAAAGTTATATGTAAGGTCATACGGAAGGTGAAGGTAAAAAATTATTCACACAGTTTAATTGCTCACCAATTTGTTTCGATGCATTAATAAAGTTGATAATAATATTAAATAAAGAAAAGAAAAGAAACTAAAGAAAAGTTTAGAAAAATTAAAATTTAAGTTGGAATTACTCTAAAGTTGGAAAAGTCAACTTTTAAGTTGGAATTACCAACTTTAAAGTTGGAATTATCAACTATAAAGTGGGAAAAGCCAATATTAAAGTTAGAATTACCAACTTTAAAGTTGGAATTTCCAACTAAAAAAAATATTACGTGGCACTAATTCACTTTCGTAGCAACTATATTTCACTAGAGAAATGAATGATGTTTTCATTGTTTTAATTTTCACGAATTGGGCTAACATTTCAAACATTTCAAATACTCATAAGCAAGTTTGAAAAGTAAATATTAATTTCCTTTGTTAGCAATTTTGTCTACTGTGTATATATATATATATATATATATATATATATATATATATATATATATATATATATATATATATATATATATATATATATATATATATATATATATTAGGGATGGCAATTTCTAACCGGTTAACCGATTACTCGGTCGGAACGATGGCAATCGGTTAGAAAAACTGTAATCGGTTAGTCGAAAAATTTTTTAATTTAAGTAAAAATGAAGGCAATCTTCTTAAAATCCATTTTTAAAAAAGAAATTCCTTCTTAAACGTTGATAATTTTGCGTTTTCATATATATTTATTTAGGCTGATTGGGAGGTAATTATGGCTCTCCAGATTAAAATTATGGGGTAATTGGTCAGTCCGAGATGTGTTAATTACTGTTAAAACATCATGTCGTTACCCCGACTGTCCTCTAATTCTTTAATGATACTAATCGCCGTTGAGCACCGTGAATGGGTGTGTGTATCTTTTGCAGTTATCTATCAAATTAAATTATAAACAAACATTGTAAATTAATTAAGTGATACAGTTTAATCTTAGTTTTGATTATGGTGACAATGAAGAATGAACTTGTGTGACATCCGCTCTGGAAAATTATCTACGATATCTCGGGCATGTTTCATAGTTTTCTGATTTTTTTCTTGTCTATTGAAATAAAAAATATATGCTTGTACATGTAGTTTTTGATCAAGAATGTTTTTGACCTCTAAGATCTTATTTTAATCGTTCTTGTGCATGGGAATAGAACTTCAAGAAAATGTGTAGTTTGATACGATTAACCGGTTAATCGGTCGGAACGTTTTGCGGTTAACCGATTAGCAATTCTGTAATCGATTGCCATCCCTAATATATATATATATATATATATATATATATATATATATATATATATATATATATATATATATATATATATATATATATATATATATATATATATATATATATAAATTTAAATTTAAAGCAAGAATATATTTTTTTTAGTGTACCATAAAAATCGTTATTATCTAAGCGTATACTGAAAATCATCTATCAGTCTTCCATTTCTCACTCCCTAACGTGTCCATTATGATTTGGATGTGTCTAAAGCCAATAACATACATGCATATAATCGCGTTACCTGTTCCCGGGTTCATGGTCTTGACACTCTATTGATGATAAGCAATAAAACTGGCTGGAATTGCATTATAAACTATAGTACACTGACCCAAACCCTCTTTGAATTTTCATCTCTCTCAGATTAAATCTTTTGTTTTAATAGTGCAAAAGAGGACTTCCGGTGGATACTGAGAGAAAACTTGACTCTAAAGCTCCATGTACTAACATTCAAAATATATTCATACTTCGGAGTTATATTTCTGTCTTCATTAAAATAATGCCATATACTCCAGTCCTACGTTCATTAAAAACAGCAGTAATACTATTGTAATTAATGACAAAATGTACTCAGTAGAAATATTTATAAAATAAATATATTGTCTAAAGATTGATTGATTGATTGATTGATTGTATGTTCTTTTTACTTTTCTTTTACATAATATGAAGATAACGAACAGTATTCAATCTCGAAAGTCCAATGAAATGATACAAATTTAGAGCAGAGCAAACACGGACCTCAAAATTTAGAGGTGGGATCAGGTGGCATGGAGGAGTGAGCATCCCCTGCCGACCGGTCACACCTGTCGTGTGCTCCTTGTCATGATCGGGAAACAAAAACCGAAAAAATCCGTAGACAGTTCAGTGCATAAATAATGGCTTAACAATTAGTATGAAAAACGTCGGTCAGCATTTGACTCAATGGTTGTATGTGCTGACAAGGTCATTGTATCGACCGAAGATGACTTCAAACGAGACTGTTGATATCATTGTTTCGTCAAC